ACTGACTAACTCAAGAAGAATGGTTTAGTTGGAATGATCAAGCTCAGCAAGCTTTAATTTTAAGGTATTAAAGACTGTTTTGGTTTCTACACTTGTGCTGGCCATTCCTAACTTTGAAAAACAGTTTATTTTGGAAACTAATGCTACAAAAACCAGCATTGGAGTAGTCTTAATGTATGGGGGGCGTCCTTTGGCATATATTAGTAGATATTTAGGTCCAAAATGGCATAAACTGTCAGTTTATGAAAAGGAGCTGCTAGCAATTGTGTTTGCAGTTCATAATTGGGAATAATACCTTGTTGGGGCTCATTTCATAATCAAGACAGATCAAAAGATCTTGAAATGGTTGTTAAAGCAAAAAATTCAACTCCCTTCCAAAGTTCCAGCAGTTTTGGTTATCCAAGTTGATGGGATTTCATTATGAAATTCAATATAAGTGTGGGAAGGAGAATGTTGCTACAGATGCTTTATCAAGGATACAGGGCTCAGAAGTCTTGTGTATGGCAGTATTGTGGTTGATTCAAACTTGGGGTTGTTGATTACTTCAAGTTACCAGCTAGATTATAATTACACTACTATTATTCAGTAGCTACAGAATCAAGTTGCAGTTCTTAGTTTTCAGTGGGAAGGCAATTTGTTAAAGAGAAAAGGAAGAATTCTTGTGGGACTTGAACCCTAGTTAAGGAATAAAATCTTTTCTTGGTATCATGAATCACTAGAAAGTGGTCATGGAAGAAGAGAATTAACTCTCAGGGCATGCTTGGTATGGGGCAATTCATTAAGGGGGTAATAAAAGTCAAACTTGAAAAAACATAAGTAATTAGAGGTGTTGTTGTAGGAGGTATGGTGTTTACAAATGACATAAGGTAGTTGTTGCATGAGGAAAAGAGAGAGATGAAGGAATTATTACCCTCATAATGCGGGTAATAGTTACACCCCTACCCCATAGTGTAAATATTACTCCCAAAATGAGCCTATTTCTTCACCTCATACCTCACCATCACTACATAATTTTTCTTACAAGCACACCATCACTATCTTCTCCTTCCTTATTTACTTTCATTTTGCTTAGTTTGACTTTTATTACCCTAGTAATACATTCCCCTCAATCCAAGCATGCCCTCGAGAGAGTTAAAAAGCTGTTTTATAGGAGAGGAATAACCAAGGATGTCAGTCAGTTTGTTAGAAGTTGTGTCATTTGTCAATCTGCCAAATACGACACCTCTGCATTTCTTGGTCATTTGCAACCTCATCCAATCTCAAAAGAAGTATGGGTGGATATTTCCATGGATTTCATCATCACTGGACCATTTTTTTTTTAAGGAAAGTAGTACTTCCTCCGTTTCGATATTACTGTAATAATTGGACTTTTGTACTGTTTATCACTCATGTTTAATTATTAGATTTGATTTATACGTTAAGAAAAATCTAGTCATGTGAGATCTTATTAGATTCATCTCATAAAATACTTTCACAATATCAACTTTTTTTTTTACTGGTACAATATCAACTTTTTATAATTTTACTCTTATACAATGATAGATATTTATTTTTTAACATATAAAATGTAATTTGGGATGCGTAATTTCATACTTATTGCAATATTATTATAACAGAGAAAGTATATAGTTATTGATTACTTGTGATTTGATTAATGACAAATACGGAGAACGTAATATTAATTGTTTACAATTTTTTTTGGATAAATTAACAACAATAATCCCAACTATTGTGTGTCTTCTCATTTTAATCCCAACTACATTTTAACCCAAAATAATCCCAATTATTGGAGCAGTCTTCTCAAAACAATCTTGCTTATTTCTTTACTTGTTCAGCCAGTCAAAAGTAATGTTTCAATATATAAATGGCTTTTTCCCCCTATTTCCCACCTTCTTCTACCACCACCACCACCTACATTGGTTGAAACCACCCCCACCCTATTTACTCTCATTATCACTAAACCACCATTGTTGAAGCCTCCAAACCATCTTATGAATCTCACAGAAAAAATTCTTAACGAAACCCAGATTTAGTAAAAAAAAAAGTGATTTTATTTTTTCTTTAAACCAAATGTTGCAAAAATTCTTGAATTTATATTTTAAATTCCAAATTTTGCAAAATTTCTTGACTTCTTTAAACTGTAGAAAAATATTTGAGAAAAATGGTAATCCTTTTTTTTTCATCTTTTGATTATCTTTATCTAATGTAAATTAAGGTAAACTTTGTAATTAGGTGGCTAATTTGTTGCACTTGAGTTGGGTAATTTTTGTTGATTGAACTGTGTAATATCTGCAATTTGCATATTTTTCCTTCATTTTTTCATACCCAAACCTTTAAAGTCAGCCTCCAAATCAATTGCCATTCATGCCTCCCACTCCATCTAGTCGACGATGACAGTAATTCTATTGTTAATGAAGAAGTGTTGGTCATGGGGTGGTGGGTATGGTTTTGGTTGTTAATTTGAATTGGTGGTTCATGAAATGGTGGCGGTGAGTGTTGTTGTGGTCGGCATCAATGAATTAAGTAGTTGAGAGGAGGTGATGATATATGACTATGGTGATGAATAAATAAAGAGAAAACTATGGAAAGAAATCGAGGGATGAACAATGGCTTGAGGAAGAAAGAGAAGTTAGGTGGTGGCTGACTAGCTGATAGGCTTGGCCGTTTGGCCCTTGGGTAGTCAGATAAAATAGGGAAAAGGCGAAGGGGAAGGTGAAGAAGAGTAAAATATACTAATACTACAGGTTACAGGTAATTTTGGATATATAGAGAAGGTATCTCTATAATTGGGATTATTTTGAGTTAAAATAGGGATGATTCTCTAAACTAAGCTAAATTATGAAGCTAATTACGAAAGTAGATGCGTGGCAAAACTATTTACCAAACTAAGCTTCTAGGGTAAAACGTTGTCCTGGATAGCGTTTTTCCCCTGATTTTTTTTTTAAAAAAATAATGGGTAAAACGCTGCCTCAGTCAGCGTTTTACATGTTGACCTTTTATAAAAATAAAAATTCTTATTTCTGATTTGTTTTTAAAAAAAATAAAAAAAAATATTTACACTAAAAACGCTGACCGAGTCAGCGTTTTTAGTGTAAATTTTTTTTTTAATTTCTTAATTTCTGATTTTTTTTTGTAAAAAAAATAAATAAATCTTTTAATCGGGCATCTTTACTTTATTCAAACCTTACATTTGATCAAATTCTTTGCGTATAATTCTGGAATCATTCCCTCATCAACTTTCACAAGCTATCATCATCTCCTTTAAATTGGTTTTTTTTCTTATTAATTATTTTTACCAGGATATTGATTTTCTGCGATTTTGGAAAGTTTTTTCTGGGTTTTGAAAATTAGATAAAATTGAGTTTGTTGAGAAATGGGGAGGTTGTTTGTGGTGAATTTGGAAGGGAAGATCTACAGTTGCAAGCACTGTAGGACCCATCTTGCTCTCAGTGAAGATATCGTTTCCAAGGTCTAATTCCTTAATTTTTTTTCCATTATTTTTAAATATATTGGATAAAAATAAATTTATACTATGATTTTCATGTTGATTTTTGGAATCTGGTTATCTTAAAATTGCGTGATCATACCTGGGTTATTCATGATTTGGGTTGTGTTCATGATGATGGTTGAGTAGGTTGACTTTAAAAAAAAAAACAGAAATTACATTAAAAACGCTGCCTGAGGCAGCGTTTTTAGTGTAATTTTTTTTTTAATAAATCAAAAATTAAGAATTAAAAAAAAAAGTCAACATGTAAAACGCTGACTGAGACAGCGTTTTACCCTAAAAGCTTAGTTTGGTAAATAGTTTTTCCATGCGTCTACTTTCGTAATTAGTTTCGTAATTAAGCTTAGTTTGGAGAATCATCCTTAAAATAGAGTTGAGATTAAAATAATAAGACACACGATAATTTGAATTACTCCCTCCGCCCACGGTTATGTGCAACAAAGGACAATTGGACGGACTCCTAGGTAAAACTTTTAGGGAGTTTTAATTGTAATTGGGTGGGTTTAATTAAGGAGGAAAATGGAGGGAAATAAAAGGGACCACTACTTTAATTTATTTGGGTGCGTTTAGATAGTGGGGAATAGTTGGTTTAAGGGACCACCTAGGGCCCTCTCCTTCATGAAAGTCGCTGGTTTTAGGAGGGAATTCTACTTCCCTCCTTTTTTTTGGAAAATTTTTAAAATCCCACCCAACTTTCATGTTATCCTGCCAATTTTAAAAATTTTGGATGAAATCAAATTTCAGCCCAAAATTTTCCATTTCCCACCAACGTACAACATTTGAATAAAATAAACACATTAAAAAAAAAGACATTAACCTTCTAATACTGCCCACTATAAAAGGGCATACAACTTGTTCAAATTTTTCAAAGATAGACATCATCCACCATTTTGTCCCAAAAGCTTCCATCAACAGTTCACAAAAGACCCCATTAATTACAAGTTCATAGGTTAAGATTAAAACTGCCTAAACTACAATTAGTCCTAGGATTAGGGCAGCATTGGGGTTCCGCTTCAACAGCACTTCAAAAACAATTAGTAACCAAAACTTCATCACCAACCTTCTAATCTGTGGAAAGAAACAAAAAGGGACACACAGAACACATGGAAGAGTCCTTTGATCAGGTTTTTTTTGGCATAGAGCAACTGTTACAGGAGGGACAATCTCATTACAATGCACAGGACAACAGTGATGAAGACAGTCAGGGAGACAGCAATGCAGAGGAAGAAGCAGGACATGGACATCCAATAAGTAGAAAGCAACTAACAGTGCAAAAGAAATGCCAGATCATTGATTAGTTCCTTTTGCAAATGCATGAGGGACAACTACCCAGGGGGTTTTTGTCAACAGTGGCAAAACAGTATGGGGTACACAGGAGCACAACAAGAGTGTGGCAGTTTGTACTAGACAACATAGCCAAAGGGAATGTCATTGATGTCAGAAGCAACAAATTAGGGAAATAGGACCACAGCCCAAATTTATTAGTGATGAGTACATGCAGTCAGTGCCTCTGTACAAAAGGACCACAGAGAGAAGCTATGCAGCAGCTCTGAAGGTATCACATGGATTCCTTCACAACTTGAAGAAAAAGGGCAGACTTAGAACACATTCAGCAGCCAACCATCCAACACTCACACCAAATCACAAAGTGGCAAGACTCAAGTGGGCATTAGCCCATATTCACCCAATCCCACAAGTTGGAAATCCAACTTTCATTGATATGCAACAAGTCATTCACATAGATGAGAAATGGTTCTACATGAACCCAGAGACAAGGCAGTTCTACCTCTTGCCAAAGGAAGAAAACCCATACATGTGTCAACAATCCAAAAGGTACAAAATTAAAGCAATGTTCATGGCAATGATTGGGAAGCCCCTATATGACTTAACTGGGAACATGCTACATGATGGTAAGTATGGAATTTTTCCATTCACCTACCAGCAATTGGCCAAGAAGAAAAGAAAGAACAGAGATGCAGGGACTCTTGAAACAAAGGCTGTGCAGAGTGTAACCAGAGAAGAAATCAGAAAAATGTTGTTAACTAACATCATCCCAGCAATACACAAGCAATGGCACCCTAGTTTGCCTAAGGATATATTCATCTAATGGGACAATGGCAGACCACATCAAATTCCAAGGGATGAAGAGTTCAAGGCAGCATGTACAACACATGGGTTCAACATACAACTGGTTTTCCAACCTGCACAATCTCCAGATCTTAATGTACTGGATCTTGGATTGTTCAAGGTCATACAATCCTTGCAATACCAATCATTTCCAAAAAAGATTGAAGAGTTAATAGAAAAGGTGTATGAGGCCTATGAATGGTTTGATCCAATACTCAACAAGTATACATGGATCACTTTGCAAAGTGTTATGAAAATGATTTTAGAAAAAGAAGGTGGGAATAATTTCAATCTGCCTCACATGGGGATGAAAAAGTTGGACAGTTTAGGCCTACTGCTAGAATTTCTAGAAGTTGAGAAGGAACTCATTGAAGAAGCAGTTCAACACCTCAACACACTTCTCATTCCTATTCATCAACAACATGAAGAGTACTTGGATACAGAGGTTGATGCAGACTAGGCACAACACTAGCTTTTAAAGACAACATGACTTCCACACCTAACCAAATATGAACTCACAACAGTTTTTTTGTGTAAAGTAAGCATATGTTTTTGTTTAAATGCTTATTATGATTTGGTTATGTGTATTTTGGTACATTAAATATCTTGTCTTTAGGCAGTCATGTAGTGAAATATTGTGTGTAGTGGATGTGAAAATGAAGGTTTTTGTATGCAACTCAATGAATGGGAAGAATGAATATTCAAGAATGAATTCCATCAAGGATGTTTTTTTTTTTTTTTTTTTTTTCAGTTGCTATGTGTAGGTTGTTACCTCAAACAACAAGTTTTAAAATGCACTTGTTGGAGCAAAACTAACCTACAAAGCATGCTCAAAGTGAGTCCCTTCATCATTTGGAATGAATGCACAGGAAACATCCATTTTGGGGACTCAATAAAAAACACAGAGGCACTGACTAGCAAGCAAAATAAGGCAACATTGAAATGGGACTCCACACAAACAACCATCCACACTAACTCATCATTCATCAATCTTTCATTCCCTTGGCCATGAACTAACCAATAACTTATTCAAGATCCAACACAAAACATTCACCACGGACCATCAGCAACATACTTACCAAAACACAAATCAACCACCAGAAACCATCATATCAAAACCAACAATAACAACAAACTCACCAACATAATAACTTCCACCAAAAAACATTAACAAATCCACAGATCTGTGCCAAACAAACACCCTTTCACAAACATTATAATCAAACACAGGCAACTAACATAATCCAGCAGCCTTCACTTCAAAGGACTCACACTCACATATCAAAACCAACAACAACAACAAACTCACCTACATAAAAACTTCCACCAGAAAACATCAACAAATCCACAGATCTGTGAACAACAAACGTTGTTTCACAGACCAAGAACTTAAACAAATTCAGAACCAAACACATGCAATGAGTATAGTCCAACAACATAGTTAACAGGGGAATCAAACAATCACACTGAACACCCACATCAACAATTTTATCAAGCCAAACAGATACCAACTAACAACAGAAATCAAAATTAGGGTTCAGAAGTTACGCTGCAGCATCAATTTGAGGGGGGGAAGTCATGAGGGTACTTGTCCCTTAAATAGGACATATACTCAGGGTCCCAGTCAGAGCAATCGACGGTGAAGACAGATCTGGCCCTCTTCCTCCCATGCCGGAGCCAGGGGTGGCCCTAACAGTTGGAGGCTCAGCAAACACCCTCGTCACCTCCCCTAGTGAAGAGGGAACCTCAATAACCAACACAGGTTCCTTCTTCACCCCGTTTTTAGGGAGATTTGTACTAAAACCTTGTGGAGAGTCAGGAAGGACCAACACATCCCTCTTCTCTTTGTAAATTGTCATACCCTCCTCCTTTGAGTCATCACTCGAGATATACTTGATTAGGGGATTTTTCCCTACCAATCATCATCTAACAAGTGGACCAATCAGGCCCTGCCATGTGTCCGCCACATGGGCCAATAGGAGCCTGCCACGTGTCAGGCGTTGATCTGTCCACCATGGACCAATTGTGTCACGCCACGTGGCCTCCATATGCCAAGCAGGTCAAATGGCCACCTAGGTCCAATTTCCAAGGGAAGCCCAGTCAGCCCTAGGTTAACTTAAACCTAGTATTTGACACGTTTCCCAAGATTATAAATACTCTAATTAATCCTCATTAAGGGGAATTCAGCAATTAATTAACCTCACCTAGAGAACCTAAACACATTGATCACTCCTCCCCTAGAGGAACCAGATCTCCCAACCTTTACTTTTCCGCATTTATTACTCCTCAAACAAATACTAACTTGACCGTCGGAGGCGGAACTCCCACCACAAGGAGTCTCCGTTGTTTTGCAGGTACAGACGCAAGGATACCAGTCCCGGAATTGTAACTCTCCCGCAGGACATAAAAAAAACCCCGAAACAATACTCTACAAGTTTCGCCCCTCTTTTTCCATGGCTGAATCTTGAAAAACAGGCTCAGCAGCGACGGACGGGCTTTAACAACCCAGATCCTCTTTGCAATTTGTACCGAGTGAAGGAAGGGACATCATCACTTTCAAGAGTTTGTTGTTTAGGGGACTCACGTAGTCTTTGTGGTTGCTCATAATTTGGAGTAGATCTGAAGATATAGGGGACTAGGGTTTCAGTCGGAGAAAGTGAAGAACAAGTATTGCAAGAGAGGAGAGAGAAGGGGTGAGACAGATGAGGAAAAAAAAAAAGAAGACAAACAGGTTTTATGGAAAAAATCTGGAGATATCCAGATTAAACCATTAAATCTGGGCAAAGCTTTAATGAAGATTGAAGCAACTTCAATGAATGGGGTGGTTGGGAGTTGGATAGGGGAGTTGAGGGGGTTTTAATTTGGAGAGAGTCACTAAGGGGGTAGATTATTAGGAGTTTATTGTATGTCATTAAGGATATGTAATCTATGATTTAATTTTTAAGTAAGGGTAATATTGTAAATTTATTGCTTAAATTTTACCAAAAAAAGAAAGAAAAAAATTGTTGCAGATAATATATGCATTCGTTTTTGGCAAATGTTGCACACAACCGTAGGCGTTACTTTTTCCATTTATTTTGAATTTGATAAATAACAGTACGAAAATTGTAAATTTCTTCAGAAATTTCCTTCGTCGTTAAGGACAACAAGGAGGTTAGTATCCATAACACCTCATTTTCTCTCTCCTCCTCAAGCTCTCAACAATGGCGACCTCAACCTCGACCTCATCAGCAGCAACAACAAACCTCATGCTAGCAGTCTACGAGAAGAAGACCAACTCCCTCGACCTCTACCGTCCTCTACGCAACTACATCACCTTCCATTACTCCGAGCGCGAAGCTCAAAACCTAGACGACGATCTCGAAACCGTCAAACAACTCCGTTCCGATATCGAGAAATCCTCCGATTCACCGCCTGCTAAGCGCGATACTCTGCTCAAATACTTCAAATGCCTTTGTCTTATGGAAACTAGGTTTCCCATTTCGCCTGATAAAGATCACATCAATTCCCTGCAATTCACATGGTTTGATGCTTTTAAGACGAAGAACAAGTCGTCGCAGATTAATCTGCACCTCGAGAAGGCGGCTGTGTTGTTTAATTTGGGGGCTGTTTATAGTCAGATTGGGTTGTCTGTTGATCGGTCTACGGTGGAGGGGAGGAAGCAGGCGGTGCATAATTTCGTTACCGCGGCCGGGGTTTTCGCTTATTTGAGGGATAATGTGGCGGTGAAGGCGGCTGCTGGTGGGTCGGCGACTGTGGATGTTTCAGTTGAGTGTGCTGGGATGTTGGAGAGGTTGATGTTGGCTCAGGCTCAGGAATGTGTTTTTGAGACTAGTATTGCTAAAGGGAGTACTCCTGGTGCTTGTTCCAAGATCTCTCGTCAGGTAATTTGGGTTTTAAATCGAGTTTTCGATGAATTTTGTTGTGTTTGAGATGGGATTTTAGAGAGTTTGATTAGGGTTTGATTGTGATTTGTGAATTTTTGTGATTGTTGATCATTTTTCCGTTATGGGTTTGTTGTTGGAATTTGATGGAATATATGAAACTTAGAAGCATAGATTCCAGTATTAGCATATATTGCAATAATTTTTGGGGAGGTTGAAGGATAGTTTGATATTCGGAGAAATTCAACTTTCTAACCCTTTCTAAATGCAAGAATTAGGCGTTTGTGGCTCCTTTTATTGAGATGCATGACTGGAGAATAATTCTCATTGCATCTGTTTCTCCCTGTCGGGCACTGCTGCTGCATCGATGAAAGGTGTGCTGTGGTGGCAAAAAACTGAGAATGTATACAGTTTCTTTTGAACAGTTGTGAATCTGTCAACTCAGTAATTATTGCTGATGGTTTTGATATGATAGTCTGTAATTTAACTATATAGGCTCACAGTAACCGGCGTAGATTTTTGTCATTCCAAGCATCCAATGATATTCAGCTTCATTTTGACTTGTAAAGCAGGATGGTAGCTTTTGCTTTTTAATTTGTTAGCTGAAGCTTCCCATTCCTAATTGAGCAGGATGTGTTTTTAAATTTATTATCCGCAGGTTGGAATATACTATGAAGAAGCTTTAGCTGCACTCAGTGTTCCTCCTCTTAGCTATCATTTTGACAAGACTTGGATAGCTCATGTGCAGCTCAAGGCATCTCTTTTTTTCGCTGAGGCTTGCTACAGGTACAGTTTAGAGCTCCATGAGAAAGAGGAGATAGCTGAAGAAATTGCTAGGTTAAAGTCTGGGATTAGTGCTCTATCTGATGTGAAGCGATCAACTAAAGGAGCTCCTGCCCAGCTCCTGGATGCTGTTAGTAAGCTTGAGGCAAGTCTTAATCGCAATCTGGAGAGGGCAATGAAAGAGAATGATAGAGTGTACCTGCAAAGGGTACCACAAGCCAGTTCATTGGCTCCTCTACCTGCATTCTCATTGGTAAAAGCCATGCCTTTGGATGAGATAGTGGATGCGAGCAAAGAGAAGATGTTTTTATCACTCGTTCCAGACAGCAGTACAAAAGCGCTTTCCAAGTACACTGAGATGGTTGATGATGTTATTAGAACCCAAGCTGAGAAACTGCAGCAGGGGAGCGAGCTAGCTAGAGTGAGGCTTAAAGAAATGGACTTACCTGAATCTCTTCTTGCTTTAGAAGGGAATGTGAGCCTTCCAGAAAATCTCAGAGAAGATGTGGAAGCAGTGCAAATTAGTGGTGGTCCAGCTGGACTAGATGGTGAGTTACAACAACTTAGAGATCTGAGAAGGGTCAATCATGAATTATTGGTACAGACAGAGGAACTTTTACAGAAAGAAGCTCAAGAGGATTCTCAGTTTAGAAGCCAGTTTGGCACACGGTGGACAAGGCCTCAATCCAGTACACTTACAAAGAACCTTCTGGATAGGCTGAACAGATTTGCTGCTAACTTAAAGCAAGCTGGAGAAAGTGATGCTAGAATTGAGCGTTCTGTCAAAGACCAT